TTCTTCTTCTCACCACCATCCTTACCACTCACTCTCTTAGGACTCATCACTATTATGAAGAATAACAGATAACGCAAACACAATACGGAAGACTCGCGGGAGATGCGTACGGAAGTCGACGAATACGTGAAGTGAACGAGTGAGGCGGCGTGGGCTGCTCCGCACGCTAGGCCACCTAGCGTCGGCGTCTGTCAGCGTGCTCGTATCTGGAATCTTTACTCGTATCTCGAAGCAAAAATTAGCTCTAAGGCTTGCTCATATCTCGAGGTTCCACTGTACATCGATTTCTACAAATCCAAATTGCGCACGCACCAAAATCTGAAGCCGTACATGCCAATGTGAAAAGAACCAAGAAAGATAAACAGCACTGCTGTTCTACTTGGAAACTCGTGTTTTTCCTCCGCAGGTGGTAACGGCCCTGGGGAAAGTGTGGCATCCCGAGCATTTTGTGTGCACTGAGTGCGAGACCGAGCTGGGCAGTCGCAACTTCTTTGAGAAGGACGGACGACCGTACTGTGAATCGGATTATTTCACCCTCTTTTCTCCTCACTGTGCACACTGCAACAAACCCATTCTAAATGTGAGACACTTCTCTGTCCTGCCCTCCCCCCCCGTCCAACCTTATTAAGCGATGAACAGCTTTGTTGACTCTGTTTATTTTGTCAATTCGTCAGAAAATGGTGACGGCTCTGGACAAGAACTGGCACCCGGAGTGTTTCTGCTGTGTAAAATGCAGCCGGGCATTTGGAGAGGAAGGTAACAGGCACGCACGATGAAGAATCTTCATAAATCAACGGTTTCCATTAGGGATGTCCAATATTATCGGCCAGATATTAGCATAATCATGTAATATCTGTAAGAATTGTTATCGTTTTTTTTTTTCCTCCGATAATGAAAACAGGATAACGCAATGCCTGGGTTTCACCAAATGATGTGTGCCCTAAAATGGTTTTTGGGGGGGAAAAACGGCTGTATATGAAAGTGTTGGTCACTAGATGGCGGCATTGCAACTCATTTTATGATTCTTATTTTAATAATCAGGGGATTGTATGCAAAATGCTAGCGCCAGCAACTCATACACTGGTTTGTACGGATGAAAATATATATATATATTTATTTATCTGTAGAAATGTATTTATCTGTAATAATTGAGAAACACTGTTTTCACCCATCACCTTAGCGAGTAGCACTTAACGTCCTTAACCACCAGGCCACCACTGCCTATATCGGTATCGGATGATATTAAAAATGAAGTGTTTGGACAATATCAACAGCAAAACGTTACTATCGGACCTCCCTGGTTTCCATTCATTACCGTTAAACTCGATGGCATAACAAGGTTTGCGAGGGTGATCTGGTGATTAACTGCAGGTGTGTATTCCTGCAGGTTTCCACGACCGTGAGGGCCAGCAGTACTGCCAGCAGTGCTTCTTGACTCTGTTTGCTTCCCGTTGTCAAGGCTGCTGCCAGCCCATTCTAGAAAACTACATCTCAGCCCTCAACTCCCTGTGGCACCCACAGTGCTTCGTCTGCAGGGTGAGAAGGTTTTATTTTTCTTTTTTTTCTTTTTTTTTTGTTAGTGTCGGTGAGCGACAAAGGTGTTTATGTACAGTATGTAAATTCAGAGTTATGAAATGAAGATATGTCACGCCGTACGAGTGGAATTCCGACGTTTTGGTTCAGGGGCCAAACTATCTAACAAAACCTAATTCAGGTGTGGGCAAACTTTTTAACTGGCGGACCACAATTGTCCTAAAATTGAACAGGGGGGGACCGGGTCAGGAGCATTGGTGTGAACTAAGATAAATGACATGTAAAAGTCATGCATAAAGGCTAAAATGCTAAAAAAATGCTTTTGGCATTTTTACGCCATCTATTGGGGAAACATGGGTATTGCAGGGAAAATGCAGAAGTATAATGATAATATAAATAAATTAAATTTCGATTTGGAAAAGTTTGGCGGACCGGATTGTAAAATTAAAAAAGGGCCGCATCCGGCCCCCGGGCCTTAGTTTGTCCATGCCTGACCTAATTTGATGTCAAGTGGGCCGGACCAGTACAATCATAACATAATAACTAACTTTTCTCTATTGTTTAAATGCAAAAAGTAGTATTAGATACATCTTCATATTAAGTGTAAAATAATTTTACAAAAATTTCAATGTCATTTTTTTATTTTCAAAATTCACCAAGCGGGCCAGTTTTGGTTGTTTGAATGTTTGGCATTCGTGGCCTGAGGACCGAGGGGTGAATCCGAGGCGTATTCAGCAGAAGTTGCCGCCTATTGTTTTGTCACACATTTTGCGATATCATCAACTGTCGAGGACAGGCCTAAATCATTGCTAAATCTATTGTTCTGAGCAACCCAAAAAGACGTCACTCTACGACCGACTTCTGATCTCTCTCCTCCTCTGCCGTCCTGCAGGAGTGCTACCCTCCCTTTGTGAACGGCAGCTTCTTCGAACACGAGGGCAAGCCCCTGTGTGAGGCCCACTACCACCAGTCCCGCGGGAGCGTGTGTCAGGCCTGTCAGCAGCCCATCCTGGGACGCTGCATCACTGCCATGGGGGCCAAATTCCACCCCCACCACCTCGTGTGCCACTTCTGCCTGAAGCCTCTGAGCAAAGGCTGCTTCAAAGAGCAGGAGAACAAGCCCTACTGCCACCCCTGCTTCATCAAGCTGTTCGGCTAGACATGCAACAAGACTTTGATTATTGAATGAAGATCGCGGAAGCTCTGAGGGAACGACGGCGGTAACGTGTTTTTTTTGTTTGTTTTTTTGGATGAATCATTCAACGAAATGTTTTTCTTTTTGCGTATTAGTCAAGTGGACTGCGTTTCTATGGCAGTTTAGGAAGATTTGTAGACTCAAAATAAAGCCAAATGTCTTGTATGTGAAACGTTTACATACTATGTTGATTCAAATTGAATATTTAAAAATTCATTTTTAGGAATTTTGGAATCAGAGCCTCTTGCTGTTTCGGAACAAAGGTTCCTTCAATATTACAGTGTTGCTTTATAATGCCAGAGTCAGACTGGAGTGGTATTTCTCATGGTGCCTGTCGAGGGACGCTAGACATTTTCATAACCTCACAGTTCGGTGTCCCTCGGTCTCACATTCCACTACAATAATTTCAGTAGTTCAATTCTGCTTGTTTAGTTTTTTTTTTTTTTTTGTGTTTTGTTTTTATGAAATAAATGGATTGTCTTCATTTTCACTTTCAGCCAGAACAACAGCGCCCCCAACTGGACTGCTTTTTTTTTTTACAGTTAACTTTTTGGGGCTTACATTTGGTTTAAAAAAAGTGAGATTTCAACTGCACAAGACCTGTGTAGAACAACCCTGGGTTTGTAGGTCATTTGGTACTGGGCCTCAGTGGGACACTGAAAAAAAATGTACTTCATTTTTAGTAATTTACTTCAGTCAAAAAGAATCCAGTCATATCCCTTTACTTTTTTCATTCAAAGATTATCTGACAATGTTTCAAAACAACAGGTCATTCAGACTCTGATACTAACAGAAGAAAGTCTAAAAAAAATTTGAAAAAGATGGCATGCTATTCCCGGTCCCTACCCTAGACCTTTGAGCAATTGCAATTTTAAAACCTTAACATCAACATTTTTTTTTTTTTAGTTCACAACACAACCTCAAGTCATGTCGGCAGATTTTACAAACTTGGTTAAACGTTCAAATGAGTTGCAGATAGAGGGCGCCACACGGATGTTGCTCTGACTGAAGGTAGAAACGAAGAAAACACTGATCTCTGCATTGATGGTTTCAGGAGGTTCTACGACAAAGGAAATGTTTCACAGCAAATGCATTTATCCTGTATTATCTTGCGCTCTTCTTTGTATATGACATGCTCAGCTTTACATTTATGTCATTTTGCTTCACTTTATTCCACACCAGCTCTATGCAATTTACCAGAGACAATTCCAAAGAATAAAGTACGACACTATTTGTTTGCCCGTCTCATTTCTCATCCTTTCAGATAACATGACCTTTAGATAACATAACAAGGAATTTTTATATATATATAAAAAAAACATTTAATAACTGTGGGTCAAAATATTAGTAAAAAAAAAAAGTAAAAAACTGTGCAATTATTAGAAGTAAAATGTTATTAGTCAAAGAATTTAATTTAAGAATTAAATTTAAATTTTACAAATTTCCCTGTCACTGTTGTGTAGGAAAATCCAAACCACCATCACAGTTTTTGTTATTTCGCATGCCCCCTAGTGGCAGTACCTGGACTAAATTGACTACTGAGGGGCAGGAACTGAGTTAATTCCTATTTGTGGTTAAATGTGAATTAATTCATAAATAATTATTACATTAATAAATAAAATAGGGATGTCCGATAATATTGGCCGTATTAATAAATAAAGTAGGGATGTTCGATAATATTGGCCGATCGTTATCATCGGCCGATATTAGCATAATTATGTAATATCTGTAAGGATCGTTATCGGTTTTTCCTCCGATAATGAAAACATGATGCCAACTCAATGCCAATGCAGAATGTTGTGTGCCCTAAAAATAGTTGTGGGGGATAAACGGCTGCACATTAAAGTGAAAGTCACTAGATGGCAGCATTGCAGCTCATTTTATTAACCTATTTTAATAATCGGTGGATTGTATGCAGAACGCTAGTAGCAGCAACAACAAAAAAAATACAGTGGTTTCTACAGATAAACAAATAAATATTTCTGTATCGGTTGATATCGGAATGGGGAATTAAGTGTTTGGAAAAATCGGCATATCGGTAAAAAGTTAATATCGGACATCGCTATTCTAAAGTAAAGTTTGTTATTGTACCCCCTTTGCAATAGGTATAAAAAAAAAGTAAACCAGCACATAATATAGTATGTAAACTGTCATTTTTTTTTATTGGAAAACACATAAAATATATGTTTGTATAACCTTAATCGGGCTAAACATTCAATCTGATGAGTGTCTGTTTCTGCGAATTCATCGTCATCAAAGAAACTGTACAAATAGAAGAAGGGAAGTTTGAGAATCCATCAGTGTTGTCCAGACTTGTCCAGCGGCGACTTTTCTGGAGTCAAAGTTGTGTTCACATACGAGGCCGACGTCCCAGCCTCTTCGGAGTCCTGTATACTTTTGTGGCTTCCTTTTTTGAAAATCTTTTTCATTTTATCGACGAAGCCGTCTTTCTCAGGTCTGTGCAGTTGTTCCTTTAAAAGTCTTACAATCGTGGCCTCGAAAAATCGGTCGACAGAAACGATGGCGGCGTGCTGCTGCTTCGCGCATCCAAACTCGCGACAGAGCTTCTTGTAGACGGTGATGTGGATCTGTTCGATATTCTTCGGGAAAGTGTAGCTCAGTTTTCCCACGGTGCACTCCTCCAGACGAGCCAACATCCCTCTCAGGTCCAGGTCGTACATGGACGTTTTTGCACGTGCGGTGATGCAGGTCACCAGGGCCGGAATAAACTTTGCGATAAAGTTCCGATCTCGCGCTAGCAACTCCTTTTCTTTGTCGTCCAGCATCTGATGTGAAGATTTGGCCAAGTCTTTCAAACCCACGGCGTTATCTTTGGGGGCAGACTCTGGCCTTTTGGGATCGTACGAAATCAGGATGAGCCGTAAGAGGTCCACGATTTTTTTGGGATGCATTAGCATGCACTTGTGCGGCTCCATCTCGATGGCATTGCGGTCTATGACCAGATCGAGCGAGCAGTTCACTGTGTTCGCCACCTCCGTCGCTATGAGCTGCTTGAGTTTGTTGACGGAGACGATGCTCTGCACCCCCGTGAGACTCATGGCTTCTCTGATGCCGATGTCCAGAGAATAGCCGAAACTGTGCAGGATGTCGCCCTCGGTCACGTGCGTGTACCGCAGATTATTGGAACCGTCCTGGGTTAAAACCTGGGGGATGACGGCTCTCAGGATTTCGTGGCTTATCATCTCCACTATCAGGTGGCATTTGGTGTTCAGCAGACAGATGTTTTCTGCGCTCAGAGTCTGGCCCTTGGTCGTCTGCTCCACTGAGCTGAAGGGCTCGGCGACGCACTTGGTAAACAGTTGCTTCATGGTCCTCCACGTGAACGCGGGCATCTCCAAACCACTGGGGATCATATTTTCCACATCCGACGCCAGGGATTCTGTGTCCTCAGATGTGAGGAGAGACGAGTCCAAGTCACCCAGTTTTATTTCACCCTCACTTTCTTTTTCCATGACCACTTGACTAAACGGGGCGGCGTCCGGGGTGTCGATGCATGGAACATAATGGGTTACGTCGCGGACGAATTTGCAGCCGCTATTGGACTACCGTCCCTGATATTCGCACCATTGACCATCATAATATCGGCCTTCTTGTCGTTTCTCGTCAGTTGAAATACCGTAGTTGGTGTTGCTGCCCTTTGGTCGTCTTTTCTTCATCGTTGGCAGAGAGAGATTAGAGATTCTGGCGAGCCCCCGTGCCTGCCGCTGGATTGCTTCGCCCGCTTCTCTTTTCTTTCCATCTCTTCTGGATCTTCATCCCTATCCCTAACGCTGTTGTTCTCCTGGAATGGGTGGTTAGAGTGGTTTTACTACACCGAGCTTCCATAGCGTTGCATTCCTACCCTATCGCGTATCCTTTTTAGTTGCATCAATTCTAGATCTCCGTACGCCTCATTTAACATATAGATCGTCTTTACGTTGTTTCTTGCAGCACTAAGACAAGCAGCGGAAAAGAGGAAAAAAAAAAAAGAACTTCTGGGTACAAGGAGAACATTACAGCATCAAAGCAGTTTGATGTGTCAAAGCACCAGTGAAAGACCAAAGGCATTCCAAAGCTGACCATCCACAGACAACCTGTTAGCATGCTAGACCTAGCTTAGCCTATTCCAGGCGTGGGTAACCTTTTTCAACTGGCGGGACACAACTGTCCAATTCAACAGGGGGGCCGGGTCAGGAGCACCTTTTCAACTGGCGGGACACAATTGTCCAATTCAACAGGGGGGCCGAGTCAGGAGCAGATGGATGGAGCGTTTGTGTCATATAAATGACATCTATTGGGGAAACATAGGTATTGCAGGGAACAGGCAGATGTACAATGATAATTATAATAAATTAATTAATATAATTTGGACAAGCTTGGCGGGCTGGATTAAAAAGCTGAACGGACTGCATACGGCCCCCGGGCCTGACAAGTATTAATGTTTTCAATTTCAAGGGACTATATCGACAAAGTAGAACAGAATGTACATATTGATGAAAACTAAACTAAAGATCACACGTGTGTGTATATATGTACATATATACATACATATATGCACATATACATACATGTATACATATACGCACATAAACATACATGTACTGTATACACATACGCACATATATACACATACATGTATACATATACGCACATATACACACATGTATACATATACGCACATAAACATACATGTATACATATACGCACATGTATACATACACGCATATACGCACATGTATACACATACGCACATGTATACATACATGTATACATATACGCACATGTATACACACGTATACATGTATACACACGTATACATATACACACACACGTATACATATACACACACGTATACATATACACACGTACACATACATGTATACATATACATACATGTATACATATACATACATACATACATGTATACATATACATACATGTATACATATACACACATAAACATACATGTACTGTATACACATACGCACATATATACACATACATGTATACATATACGCACATATACACACATGTATACATATACGCACATAAACATACATGTATACATATACGCACATGTATACATACACGCACATAAACATACATGTATACATATACGCACATGTATACATACACGCACATAAACATACATGTATACATATACGCACATGTATACATACACGCACATAAACATACATGTATACATATACGCACATGTATACATATACGCACATGTATACATACGCACACATATACGCACATGTATACATACACGCACATAAACATACATGTACACACATGTATACATATACGCACATGTATACACATACGCACATGTATACATATACGCACATGTATACACACATGTATACATATACACACACACACACACGTATACATATACACATATGTATACATACTCCGAGTCCAAAAAGCCCAACGACCCCCACAGGAGAAGCATTGTCTAAAACATTACACATTTTTAAAGTTTTTTTTTTTTTTTATATTTATTTATATTGCAAGTGCTCTACAATGGTGCAATTTAAATTAGTCCCATTTCCAAATTATACATTCATACAAAAAATTTACAACAGAAACATCTAAGACAGACATTACATCGCATCCCTCATGTTTTTTTTTTCCCCCCCCCTTCTTTACACTTAATACATGCGCCCGCAAAAAAAAAAAAAAAAACCCCAAAAACTCTGTGGCTTATGTACAAAGTCTGTACAGCTGAACCACTGTTCAGTCATTACACCTTCCTTACCCTGGTTACCCTGTTAGACTCAAAGAAGTTCACCCTGTTGGTTTTTTTTTAAAAGATATTCACAACAGGATTGGCTACTTTACAAAATAATGCTACGCTAAGCTAACTATCATCTTCAGAATTTATACATACCGTTTGGTTTGAGTTCAATTGTACAGGATTTATAAACACGACTCATTGAGTGTGGATAGTACTTGTCTTATCATCTATTTCTCTACAAGCTACGTGCATGTTGAGCACAAGAAATTAACATTAAGTTTAAAAAAAAAAAAAAAAAAAAGCTACAGGAGACCAAGGAAAAGATCAGATAAAGGAAATGGAAATGGGTTTGTGTGCAAAAACAAACAAAAGAAAAACAACCAAACAATGTGTCCAATGCTGAAATCAGAGTTAAAGGTTAAAGTGATCTGGAAAAAACAAACAGTATATTAACACATTGTTCCATATATTAGGAAGACAGAGAAGTTCATGACAGGTCTGTGTTGCTGCTGCTTTTAACACCAAAGCAGTTTTGTCCCGCTTAAGATGGAAGAGCCAGGAATCCAGTAGCAGACCTGCAATTAATAGTTGTTCTAATCTCGGTTACTGTAGGATGTAAAAGCATTTTTTATTTTTTTTTAATGTGCAATATCCCAGACTTACTCCATGTTGCATTTAAGCTGACACACAGTTCTCTTGTCCAAGTACCGGCAGAAAAGAGTGAGCAGGTTGGACGGCAGATTGAGGGGCTCCACGAGTGAACACTGAGAAAGCTGACCGGCCACTTGAAATATTGTGTCCGTCCTGCAACGAGGAAAGAATCAAGTCTCATCCAGAAGTGTTAAAAAAAAAAAAAAAAAAAAAAAAAAAAAAAAAAAAAAAAAAGGGACTACAGTTTTAAATACAACGGGAACATTGGACTTCACCAGGTCTCAAAGTCACCGATGCTGGGCTCGAGCGGGACACCGGACGACAGGAGCTTCTCTCCTTGGGACAGTAGCGCGTACAGTAAGGACAGTCCAAACTTAGAAGACAAGCAGAAAATGTCTAATATAATGAGATCATAAATAGAAATAAAACATCAGGAGAAACGAGCAGCACACCTTGTTCTGACACACCAGTGTCAGACACTCGTACGTTGACAAGGACTCTGATGAGGTCAGGTCTTTGAGGACCCTGATGAGCTGACTGAACGTTAGCGCTGCAATCACATTTCGAAGAGGCTGGTAGAGAACGGGAAGGCTCTGAAACCAGTCAAAAAAAATAAAAAAATAAACAGAGTTGTAGTCCTCTGACACACTGTACACCAGTGGTCCCCCAACCTTGTTTTGCAGCACTTTTGTCCTAAATTTGCAATTATTTTTTGTCCCCCCCCCACCACCCTCAGGGGGTGGGGGGGGAAAAAAAAAAAAAAAAAAAAAATTGCAAATCAGTTCAGCACTGAAGAGAAGCAGAGCAAAGTGTTTTTCAAAATAAGATATGCTTAAAAAAAAAAAAATTATTTAATTAAATTTTTTCTGTGCAGCCCACTAATGACAGGTCAAAAGCTTAATAGTCATTGGAAAAGTGGTTGGGGACCCCTGCTGTACATGCATGACTGGGACAAATTGGTCATGGAAGTTGATCATGTACTGCAACTGTTGGTGAGGGAGAAAAAAAAAAAAAAAAAAGACTAAGATAATGAGTGTTGCTTTGTTTCATTTTCATGTGATTTGAATTTAATATTTCAGTTTGATTTAAAAATTGCAGTTTAAAACAAATTGATCTGGTTATAAGCTGTGGGGAAAAAAAAAAAAAAAAAAAAAAAGAAAAAAAAGTTACCTCTTCAGAATCTCTGCTCATCAGCGTTGGTAAGTTGGACGTCACAATATGCAAGATTTTGAGTGTGGACTCGCGCTTCAGGAACGGAAGCAGACGAGCCAGAAGCTTTTTGCCTTTGGAAACGAACAGGAAAGGAAGAAACTCCCCTCCTGGTTCTCTACATCAGGAGGTTTAAATGTTAGTGTTTCTTATTAAAAAATAAAAAAAAGTCATATTTAGTACAGTTAGTGAGTGTAATGGAAGCTATATTTAGTACAGTTAGTGAGTGTAATGTGTGTTAAAAAAAAATCATACAATTCCAAACATTACCACGCAGTACCTATGACTCACCCTAGATTGTGCTGTTTCATCTGTGTGTAAATGTGCTCCGCCGTCCACTGGGTTTTCTCCTTCAGCTGTCCTCCTTCGGATTCAGACGGGACGCTGCTATTTTTCCTACCGCTCTCTTCCACCTCCAGCAGAGTCATAAACAACTGCAGGACATAGCAGCAGCTGTGACAGACCGTAAGCGAAAACCAAGCGCATATTTAAAAAAAAAAAAAAAAAAAAAAAAAAAAAACAGCAGCATGTACCTTTTCTATTTGGCTGAGGACCTCTAACCGCTGCTGTCTGATGTCCTTCGGTACCTGCTTTGCATTATGGTTAGTTTAAATAGTTGCGGATTAAAAAAAAAATTCTAGAAATACAGGTTGGTTTCCCTGACCTCATGGGACGTGTGAGCTTGGACACCATGAACGGCGCTAATGGCACGGCGAGGAGAGTAACACGTAGACACTGCTACTTGACCCAAGGAGCCTTCAATGTGCACCACTGGTGGAGGGAAAAATCACAGACAACGGAAAAGTTCAGAGTAAAACATTAAAGAATACGTTATTCAGGTTCAGAGGCCACATACTGTCTAATTACATGTCAAGTGGGCTAGATCAGTACGATCAGCACAAACATAACATCATGAACATGAAGTGCTTGTGCTTATCTTGCCTTTAGAATTTATCAAACAGGCAGGTCCAGTACGATCATCACATAAACTGAAAATAATGCGGCCATGTTTTTTTTCCATGCAAAAAACAGGTACAGGTATATGTACATAACATCATGAACATGAAGTGCTTGTGCTTATCTTGCCTTTAGAATTTATCAAACAGGCAGGAATAAACCCCCTAGTGGGCCGGTTTTGGCCCACAGGCCGTATGTTTGGCACCCCTACTTTAGGTGTTCTAGTACAGTGGAACCTCAAGGTACAAGAGTCCCCGACATACGAGTATTTCGAGATACGAGCCAGCCATTTATGAAGTAAATATTTAAGATACGAGCACGCTTAGAGACGCCGACGCTAGGTGGCCGAGCACTCGTTTACTTCACATGTTCGTCGACTTCCATATGCATGTCCCGTGAGACTTCCGTATTGTGTTTGCGCGTTATCTACGTGATTTTCACTCTATTTTGTGCATTATTCTTCATATTAGTGATGAGTCCTAAGAGAGTGAGTGGTAAGGACGGTGGTGAGAAGAAGAAACGCAGGATGACCACGGAAATAAAGCATAAAATTGTCGATAAATATGAGCATGGTGCAAAAGAAAGAATACAAAACAAAAGTTAACTCTAAGTTTATGTAAGTTACGTAGTGTACGTGTAAGGTACGGTACGGAATCAAATGGCTACGTACGGGCCAACTCTTCCCTCCCTTCCTTCCTCCCCCTTCTCCGCACATCGCTATTAGCCGCTACTGTATCGTCTGTTCCACTGTATTTAAAATTATGCAAATAAAATTAGCATTTCTACTTACTAGAATTGGAATTTCGGGGTCTACAAGACATTCACGTTTTAGTTTGAAGGTGTCAAACCCAAATGAGCCACTACTGCCTCTGTAGTCTCATCGGAGAAGGTCACTTTAGCGAGTAGGAGTATTACAAAATATATTTCTCTGTTTAATATTGTAAATTAAAGTTAAAATAATTTGGCCCCACTTTTCTAAATTCACTAAAAACAGACAGGGATTCATATAAAGTTTGAGCTGGAAGTGCAAAGCAAAAAAAAACATTTCCTTTAACCAATATATACTGTGAATAAATATATACTGTGAAATACATATATGTGTATATATATACATATATATGTATGTACACATACACATATATGTATATACATACATATATATACACACACATATACTGTGTATATGTATGTATATGTATATATATATACATATATACACACACACACACACATATATATATACATATACATATATATATACATATATATACATATACATATACACATATACATATATATATATACATATACATATATATATATAATTTTTATTTTTTTTCCTCCATTATAATTGAGAGGCAGGACCGATCTTTTGCAACATTCATTTAGCAACACCATTGAAAAGTAAGTGGGCGTTTGTGTGGAATGCAAAGGTGATTATAATGGAGAACCTGGCGTGTAGGCCTCAGTCTTTGTGATGTAAGGTGTGGTAAGCTTGGGTGGCTCCCTCTTGCCCCGGATGCCGAGTTCCTCCTCTGCCATCTTGGCTTCTATTCTTCGATAGTACTCCTAATATAAAAAATAAAAAAAAAAATAAAAAAATTAAATACAACCCCCACTCTCCTATTTGTCTATGCGACAATGAGACACCCAACTTCAGTGTTCTTACCTGGTAATAGTAGTCCTCAAGGTAAGGATTCTCACTTTGCAGCTGAATCATCTGAAGCCTGATGATCCACTCCTTTTCTTTAGCCGTCATGATATTACAGTAAGGGTCCAAGTCTTCCATCTTTCTAAAAAGGGGGCACGCATTTAAAAGAACGACACATTCCACTGTGAGACAGAGACATCACTACAACGCACTGAATGTAACTTAAAAACCGTTAAAGAAGTGGCACTAACCTGTGGGAAATGCGTTGTTTTTGACTAAGTAAGCGTTTGTGTTGCGGGTGGAGTTGAGTCACTGGTCCTGGGAATCTGTGGGTCAGAGACCCCAAAAAAAAAAAAAATTTAAAAAAAAATCAACCGTTACTATAACAATTCAATTTAGACGCAAGGATAACTCGGCGGCATTTGACTAATCTAAATATGATTTTTTTTTTTTGTGTTAAGTTTCCACATTTTCAAACATTTCAATAACAGAAAAAAAAGTTATTGACATAGAAACTACAAATTTAAGTAGTTTTCCGAGCATCATTTTGACTTAAAAGCTTCCGATTTTATTAACAACAAGCACTGACTGAAATGGGACCCGTAGCATCAGCACACACCTGAAATGCTGCACCGGGTTAGAGGAAGGGCTGTAGAAAGGGGATGGCGTCGGCGAGTTGGCGCCAAAACGAAGTTGCAAGACCTTCGGAGGCAAAGACTGCGGAGTGGAAGGGCAAGGACGGCCGGAATGGGATATGAACCTTCCCGTCTGATTGAAGAAAAACAGGAATTAGGACAAACCATACATTGCATGGATGTTCGCTTAAGTTATATGGAAGCTTTGCTGGAACAAAGGGTTCTAAAGTCAAATGTTAGTTTTTAGACCACGCAGGAGATTTTCGTTGGATTCTAGGGCCACGTTACCTAAAGAATCAAAAATCAAGGCACTGCAATGGCATAAATTAATATCAATGTTTCAAAGAATAAAACAACTACAAAATATGAAAATATTTATTTAGCACATTCCAACTATGCACAAAATAAAATTTGATTTCAGGTAAATACATTTAACCCAACCTGGAGAAATGTGTCCACACCGCAGACTAGTTGGCACTTTAAGAAAAGCCCGTGCTGGCCAGGGTTTTTGCTTGTGTCATTATAACTTCCTGTTTCAGCCATTTTGTTTTGGTGATAGGCCTTTCGGCCAGAAACTGAAAATCCACTTTTGGGCCATTTTCGGCCAAAAATGTTTGTTGGCTGAATATTCGGTGTATCCCTAGTTATATACAGTATATATATATATACATATATATATATATATATACATACATATATTATATATGTATATATATATAGTTTATTGGGCTGTCAAAAAAATATATACATTTTTTTAAAATATATAATATATATATTTATTTATTTTTTGACAGCCAAATAAACAACTACATGGGAAGACCACTCGCCAAGACCTTCACCTACAGTTATTTGATAACAGACCTGATTGTAGAGCTGCCTGGGAGTCAGGGGTTGCCGTGAGAAGGCAGGTGTTTCTGGAACTGGTGCCTGCATCTGCAACCAAAAAAAAAAAAAAAAAAAAAAAAAAAACACAATAAAATGAAGCATTAAAAATAACCAACAAAAATGTGTTTATTTTGTTTGTCCAAACGCAGGAATTCTACTTAAGGGGCTGCCAATTTGTGTTTTTGTTTACGAAATGAATCATAAAACTCTTAAAAAAATAAATAAATACAATTGTGTAGTAAAACAAACTCCCTACCTGGGAGAGACCTCTTTGGCAAAATGGCCTCCTGGAGTAGAGCCCTCTGGGCTCTCTCCTCCCTCTGAAGCAAGAGAATGGATATGGCGAGTCCAGCCGCTGACCACGGCCTCTGGGACCATCAATCACACAAACTATAGCGCTGTCCTAGAGAAACAGAATTCGATAAAACGACCAATGGTTTAGAGTGAAAACCTTCGATACAGATTACGCCTCCCGTAGTGTCCTGTGGTTAAAACCTGGAGCAGTGATCCTGAATCTCGTCTGTTTTTTCTGTAAGTGGGCACCATCCACTGGGGAGGTGGGAGATCAATCAGAGTAAACACAAGAAACGGCAAACAAAAATGAAAATGAACTTCGGATATTGAAGATCGATATTGAAGCTTACATCCTCAAAATTTTCCCGGTACATAGCGTTCCCAAAATCCACAATGGCACTGTCAAGACTCTAAAGAAGAAAGCAGACCGCCATGAGGGCAGGTTGGTGGAAGGGGGTGGGGGGGAGTCAGCCGAACGTAGGTACGTCAGGACACGAGGTTACCTTAATGTTTGGACGACCCTCGACTATCCTCATCACGGCTGGGTCTTCAAACATGTGTTCTCGGTACAGCCCGCCCCTGTAGCCCCTTGCTCTACCACGCTGGTAGTAAGGGAACGAGGGGCGACTCTGTGGCTTGTGTCTCGGAGGAGAAGGAGCACCGTTTGGACATGGTTTGGGAACTGGTAGCTGTGGTGGTGGGGGTGGTGGCGATGCCGGTGGAGGAGTTGGTGGGAGTTCTGCAAACTGAGATAAACTGCTGGTCGCTTCCTCTGCGGTCACCTGAGCATCCACATCTACAACATAATGACAGGGGAAGAAAAAAAAAAAAAAGTTTGTGGTAGGTGTCAGTGTTCTCATTGGGCCCCCACAATGAGATGCTCATTGGTTGAATGATGGGGGAAAAAAAAAAAAAAAGGGGGGAGGACAAGGGGTGCAGATGGGCAAATAAGATCATCTACAACAGGGGTGTAAACTAATTTCCACCAGGGGGCCACATCATCAATACAGTTACCCTTGAAGGGCCGATTGTAAATGGAAGACTGTATAGATTAGTATAGACCCAACCCCGGTCCACGGACCAGTACCAGTCCATAGGTCATGTGGTACCAGGCCCCAGTGGGACACAGTGGAAAAAAAAAAAGTACTTAATTTTTACTAATTTACTTCATTCAAAGAAAAGCCAGTCATATCCATTTGCTTTCTTTATTCAAAGATAATCTGGCGATATTTTAAAATAATAGGTCATTCAGACTCTGATACAAACAGAACAGAGTCTGTCTACAAATATGGTTCATCGCTGTCTAACAAAAAAAAAAAAAGAAACTAAATTTCTTAGGTTAAGAAACTCTCTTGCATGGCCTTTAGTGTCTTTTTAAGCTCCC